TGTGGGTTGTCACTCGACTCTAATCGATATAGAGAGGAGTTCTCTTGGAAGAAGTCGCCCGTCCGGTTGCCGAGTGTGCAACGGCGCAAAGCCGTTGAGGTGTTCGTGTGGCCCGTTGTCGGCACGGTCGAACATGCCGCGCGCCATCCGGGCCACGAAGTCGGTGATGCTCTCGACTTTTAAATCGGCCGCTATTACGTCGTTCCGGACGTAACGACCTGCTCCGACAATCGTCCTTAATGTCAGATTCTGCTGAGCCTGCAGTCGCCGCCTCTGGGTTATGCTCAGGAGTGCGTACCAGGCCGGAGCAGAGTAGGTGGTAATAGTCCAGATATACATCTTGTATATCCGGATCTTAGTCTTCAATGGTAATTTGGATGCCAGGACCGGACGGAGCATCGCCCGCGCAAATCTGGCTTTGCGGACGACGAAGTCGACGTGCGCAGTCATGCGCAGCGCCCGGTCGATCCGGCACCCAAGGTAAGTCACGGCCTTCTCATACGCTATCTCCTGGCCGTTGAGAGTCAATGGTGGTGGTAAATTCCTGAGGCGACGAGTGAGCAGAGCGGTTGTCTTACCAACGTTGACAACCATCCTCCACTCATTTAGCCAAGGTGGCAGTAGGTCCAGCAGACGCTGCATTTTGGCAGTGGCTATATGGGCTCTTCTGGACGAGGTGAAATAGGCGCTATCGTCCGCATATAGCGCCAGCTCAACGTCGTCCTCCCATTCTTGCAGCCTGCCTGCCAATGTAGGTATATCATTGGTATAAGCCGCGTACAGGACTGGAGACAAACAGCTGCCCTGTGGAACGCCGGCTCTGATGGATTTTGTTGCGGACTCGGCGTTCTCTATGCAGACGTAAAACTTCCTGTCTTCCAGGAAAGACGCCATTAACCGCAACATAGCAGGGGGGACACTGGTCTGCTCGTGTAGTTTATATAATAATCCGGAGTGCCACACCCGGTTGAACGCCTTCTCGATGTCGATAAAGACGCCCAACGATATGCGGCCGCGATTGTACTCTGCCGCAAGCAGGTGCAGCACTAGAGTAGCACTAGAGACTAGAGTCAGCTGTGTGACTGTAGAGTGACCCCTCCTGAATCCGTGCTGCTCCGCCCGAAGTTGGATGCACGGACGGAAACGTCTTAGCAGCAATCTTTCGAACAGTTTAGCTATGTGTGGTAATAGCGTAATCGGCCTGTAGCTGGAAGCTTTACGCCTGTCCTTCCCGGGTTTCGGCAAGACGATAATTTTGCCTTTTTTCCATTCCTCCGGGAAGTGGGATGTCCGCAATATCCCATTGTAGAGTCGACCAATCTCTACTAGGGCTCTATTGGGCAGCTGTCGGAGTGCAGCGTTGGTAATCCTATCGTGCCCAGGCGCCTTCCTCGGTTGCAGGCGGGTTACTGTCCTCCTCAGTTCAGCGGGGGGAGATGAACCACTCTCCTGCAAGAGGTGGCGCGGGCGACGACAGGAACTCCTGTACGCGACTTTCCTTCCGGGCATGAAGCTCCATGAACTCCGCACTCGCTGGGTTCGGCATAAATTGCCCCTCGAAGTGCTCTCCCAGGATATCCGCTCTGCCCTTGGCATCATAGCAACGTTCGCCCACACTGTTGGTCAGTGGGCAAACGGGAGGTCTAGTGTTTGTCAGCTGTCGGTTCAGTTTATAGAGCGACGCATCATGCTCATCCGCCTTCCATATGCGCCGCTCCCAGGCCTCCCCTCTGTAGGCCTGGACTGCCACCGACAGCTCCTCCGATACGGTGTTTAATTGCGTTTTTAATCTAGGACAGCGAGTACGCGCCCAGAGCTTTCTCAGCGCTCTTTTTGCGCTTGATCTGCACGCTTATCTCACGCGGCAGATCGTCACGCCTTGCTGTGATCGGGACGATCGTAGAGGCCGCGTTGAGGGCCTCTTGGATGTTTTTAGTAATTCTAGTAGCAGCGGCCTCTACGTCGTCCGCTGTGCTTATAGGCAAGTGTGCTGGAGGTCTCGCTTGCAGGTGTTGTGCATAGCGCCTCCAGTCGACACGTGTCTTGGTTGCTCTGGGCGGCGTAGTCACCGCCTTTGTGCCAAGGATTATCAGAATCGGGAGGTGCTGTGAGCTCAGGTCATATAGCACCTCTACCACTACTGGGTAGTTGATGTTCCTGGAGAGCACGATGTCCAATACATCCGGATACTTCCGTGGGTTGGACGGGATGTGCGTTGGCTCCTCGGGACCTAAAACGTCATAGTTGTTGTTTTCTGCATCTTCATAAAGTTCACGACCCGGCGGGGTGATCACTCTGAACCCCCACGCCGGGTGTTTGGCGTTTAGGTTCCCGGCGACGATAGTGGGCGTGTCGCCTTCCATTATTGTCCGGATGTCTAAGGGGCAAAATGGAGTCCCTGGCGGGCGGTATGCTGCGTAGATCCTGAGTTCCTCGCCCGCCGCCTCCATTTTTATGCCGATAGAACGCATTGACTGGTATGATGGTAATTCCAGTTCCTGATGGACGATGTCCCTCCTCACCCTAACTGCCTTCCCTCTATAGGCAGCCCCTTGAGCAGTGACCTCGTCCCTTCTGTACAGGTGGTAGCTGGACAGCTTTATGTGCGTCCTTGGGTTGAGCTTCGTCTCTCCCAGCAAGATGACGTGCAGATCCTGTTGCTGGGCAACTATGTGGAGTTCATGCAGCTTCTGCTGTATACCGCCCGGGTTCCAGTATAGGAGGCGCAGGTTACTCACCTCCGTAGTGCCGGGCTAGGAGGTTTGCCAGCGCCTTCATGATGGCTGTGATTGGGTCTGTCCCGGTCCTGATGTCTGTCAGGACTTGCATGCCGACCTCGATGGCAATACCAACCAGACGCTGGATTGCGTCTGCTGTTTCGAGGCCGGTGGTAGGTATTTTCCTATAAGAAGGCGTTGGCAATTGTCTCGGGTGTTGGGTGTCCTGGGTTTGCTCACTATGTATTTGGGTAGGGCGCGCTCTTCCAATAGAGCGGGCTCTGTGTTCAGCCCTTTCTGGCACTCTACCCATACTCCTGGTTCTCTCCCTGGTAACCTGCGCCTGTGAGGCTACTGGTGCTGTTGGTGTCGGGGTAGAGGTGACAGCCTGAGGAGGCTGCGACTTCTTCCTGCTCCTCTCCCGCCTCCTCTTCTTGGAGGGTTGCCGTTCTGTGGCAGGATTGGCGGGGGGCTGTAGAGTCGCCCCCGGTGGTTGCCCTTATCTCTGTGGGTTCCACCTTTTTTTTAGGTGTTACGGGTGGGGGGGGGCTGGTTGCCTGCCCTTCCCAGTGATGGTAGCCCACCCGTCTTGCTGAATGGTTACAGCTTTCGGGCGACTCTGGGGGGTCTTTTTAGGGGCCTCCGGGAGTAGCCCCGGCAAAGTTATCCCCTGCCTCCTAGCAGTCCTCCTGTGCATATGTGTAAATTTTTTGTTTGTCTTTCATTTAAAATGGTATATGGCCGGCCCGTTCTCATTGGTTTATTGATTATAGCACAAATTGATGATTTTCAAGTCTGATTACAATCACAGGTCCTAATTTCTCCAATGTGATCGAAGGTCACTTAGCTGGCTGCAAAAGCCAATAATCTTTCACGTAACCTTCCTCTTTAGAGGCGATGTTGTAGGCAGCTAAGAGATCTGGTTGAGCAGGATGTGCACGGTTGCATAGCTACTACTGAGCTCAGTGTTGCCAGGCGTAAAAATATTTTTGTTTGGTATTGCCAACTTGCCAACAAGTGAAATTTCCAACGAGGAACATTTAATTACGTAGTACATTACGTTACATACATTCAGTTGTTCTTGCTCATGGGCGGCGGTAGTCGCTGTCAGTTGAGCCGTATGCTCGTTTGCGTTTTGCCTCTCTTACAAGTCAATGAAATTTTGGACCTTTTACCTAATAAACTTTAAAAATACCGGTTTCATACTTAATAAAATATAATAGGCCAGTTTTAATGGCTAACGTCTTTTAACTCTAAAATTCAATTTATCTAATAATCCATGGAGTTAAAGGCAAATAACTCCTTAGCTTTCCTAAATGTGTTAGTCACCCGAAATCCTTACAACAACATAGGTCATACTGTGTACAGAAAAAAGACCCATACAAACCGATATATAAACGGTGAATCTCACCATCGTCAGAGCTGATACCTGAGCTTCAGCACGTCAAGCAGGTTCTGCACGACAAGAAGCTTCGGGTCCCGCGCTTACGTCACAGTAACCAAGTGAAGCCGGCCACAGTCGAGCGTGTGCCCGCTGTACTACCATATGTCAGAGGTGACATACAAGGTTGGCTACATCTTGAAGCGAGCTTCTATTAGAACATTCAACCAGCCACCGAAGAAGATTAGTCAGTTCTTACCATCCGTCAAGTTTCATGATCCTCTACAAGATGCAGGAGTGTACAAGCTTGATTGTGAATATGGTCTTTCATATATAGGGCAAGCAAAAAGATCAATTAGAAAGAGAAAAGTACATATAGCTGACGTGAAGCATTAACGTTGCGGGAAGTCTGCAGTTTGTGATCATACCCTAGATAGCTAGGCCTAACTACCTAACCTATTACATCAGATTTGATAGACCACAAATCCTCGCGAAAGAACATCGATTCCTACGAAGGATGATATGTGAGGCTATTGAAATTAAAAAAAACCATCCTAATTTCAATAGAGAAGGAAGCTGGGTGCTATCACCTGCTTGGGACCCCGTAATAAATAAAATTAAAACTAAAGCCAAGCATACCACTGCAAGACTTCAAGACACAGTTAGTTCATTCTGCGTAGATCAGACCAAAGACAATAATTAAAAAGCTGAAGGTACTTTGGGTTAATACTGACATCGGGACGTCAGTCACCTTAGTTCCCCGTGACCATGAGTGCTGGAAAGCACCCGAAACATTGTGTATTAAAAATAAAAAATTAAATGCGATAGAATCCGTAAAAGTAGTTTTAATCAATAGGTATGTATTATCAATAAAACAAGTAAAACGAATTAATAAATTTAGTTTAATATCGCGGGAAACGTTGGAAGTCATTGTCGCAAACTGTGCCGGCGATCAGGTCCCTTACATTCCCTCTGAAAAATTGGAAAGAAAATGTATTATTATTAATCATTTAATTTCAGACGCAGGTTCACATATGTTATTATATATACAATTTTTCTTACATGCTATGTCAGTAAAAACTTAACAAATACAATACAAAATTATTATTAGATAAAACTTCGGGCTTGTCGGTTTATGGAACTCATAAAACCTGTGTTTAATAAACCTTGCAAGCAAGCAGAATCAACTCTGTTCCAAATCATCCATAGGACTCTGTTCGGGCTCCATCGCACGCATCGTACAAGAGACTTCGCTCTTTTTCGCATGTTTGGTTTAAAATCGTACGTTTTTGCGTTAGCAAACTTACTTGATGCACTGCAATACCGAGGGAACCTAACAAGACCCTGAACATATTATTGTATTGAATTCGCAGGACATTGTATGGTTTTTGGGTAGAGTGGGTCCAAAGACTGCTCGTGTAAAAGGTTTGGCGATAGGCTTTGAATAAAGCAATTTTGACCAGTGTTGTGCAACGAGCAAATTTATACTAACATATTAACATGGTCAGACAATGCCCTGCACTCTATTTATAGTTATATCTAGGTCATCACACAAATTCTCATTATTATGTGGCCGAGATATTTAAACTATGTTACGCGATTTAAGAGTATTATCTGGATTTATAAAAAATATAAACTTATAATTAGACTTGCAACGAATATATATTCGACCATACGTCGAACGCCGTGCCGAACAGTCGAATATTAGTCAAAAGTATTCGGCCGAGAAGGAGGTACCGTTTTTTATTCAGATCGTGTATTCTCGGAAGTTGGGATTGTCTACGAGTCTTCTCGTTCTTACATTGGTAAACTACTGCCTGAAAATGCATGCAAAATTAGTCTTTCTGTACCATTATCTTCCACTTTAATTACGAAAATTCAAGTGCATAGAAACTTATTCCTGTAATTGGGACTACTTTTATGATTATTTAAAAAAATCATTATTATTTTTTTTTATAGAATAGGGTGACAAACGAGCACACAGTCCACCTGATGGTAAGTGGTTGCTGCGGCCCATAGACATCTACATCTATCCTCCATTAAAAATGAAAATGCAGATGCGTTGTCACCCGTGAGGACTGAGATTGAATGCCTCGTTTCCAGTAAAAAGGGTATCCGGTTCTCTACACTCACCATACGAAATACAGCAGCATTAAGCTACTATTTCACGCTGGTATTCTGTGAGAGCGTGGTCCTTCCCCGGTCGAGCCGACCCATTCGTGCTACAACTATACTACTATATTAAATAAATAAATATTTTCATTCTCTAATTATCTTACTACGACTAAACATCTTACTTAAGTATTCGGTATTTAGCTGAATATTATCCAGATATTCGATATCCGGCCGAATAGAAAAAAAGTAGCCGAATATCGAATAACTGCCGAATATTCGTTGTAATGGATTTATGGTTATACGTGGTAGAGCCACGCTGCAGTTATATTAGTAGTATAGTTGTAGCGTGAATGGGTCGGCTCGACCGGGGAAGGACCACGCTCTCACAGAATACCAGCGTAAAATAGTAGCTTAATGCTACTGTGCTTCGTATGGTGAGGTTAGAGAACCGGAGACCCTTTTTACTGGAAACGAGGCATTTCATCTTAGTCCTCACGGGTGACAACGCATCTGCATTTTGATTCGTAATCGAGGATTCATGTAGGTGTCGATAGGCCACAGCAACCACTTACCATCTGGTGGATTGTGTGCTGTTTTGTCACCCTATCCTATAAAAAAATGCGGATCTGAGACGTGGTCCTTCACTGCTGGCAGAAGTTCGAAGTCGCTCAGCGAGATAATGAGAGGGCTATGCTTGAGGTTTCTCTGGGTGATAGACGTAATGAACGAGGATATCTGCGGTAGAACCAGAGTAACTGACATGGCCTAACTGATTTGTAAGCTGTAGTGGCAATGGGCCGATATAGCTCGAAGAACCGACAACCGATGTGGAAAAAAGGTTCTCGAGTGACAGCCTTGTACCGGTAGGTGAAGTGTAAAGTGTAGGGCGTCCCCCCACTAGATGGAGTAACGAACTGGTAAGACATGCAGGATGTCAGTAAAGGCAGGTGGCTTATGAACGTGCTTTATGGCGTTCCTTGGTTCCTATCGTGAAGGTTAGAGAACGGGCGAACGATCGCCGAAGAAAATAGTGTCCCAGAAATATGGACACCATAAGTGAGGCGCTGCAATCACTAAGTTCGGTCAATAAAAGTCATTTTCAGTCTATTTTTCCGATCAGATGCTAAACCACTTGAACATCCACGCACAATAAAATATTCCTCCATTTTTTAATGTTTCTTTTTATCAAAAATTACAAAATTACGGAGCATGAAAATTTTCTCATTAAAAATTAAATGAAAATTTTTACATTATTCAACGTAGACAGAGAAACCAATAGACTAATGATTAGGGTGGCCTTGAGTGAGAAAGGACGATAACGTAGTTTTAGGTTATACAATATATAATCTTATACAATATATAATCTTTATCACTTTTAAACATATTTGGATAAAATTTAAACGTATATTCATATAGTTCTATAACGAAATTTGAAATAACAATTGAATTTTATGCGTAATACCAGATAAACATACTTACTAGTGAAATGATATATCGGTGAATTTACGTTCACTATCACTTTTACATCCTAAGACACTACATCTAACCATTTTTAAAGTTTTTAATTGTTCTAAGAACTGAACTGAACAAGATTCACCAATCTTAAGCTCACAAAATACTTTTTTTCTCACTTAAACCAACTTGTAAACTCTTTAGATCGCCACGAACTGTCAAAGTTTGTTTCGCAAAGTGTAATTTGATAAACAAACAAAACCGGCACGGAGAAAGGGACAAACAATCACACCGCTCTGTCTCGTTTCTATGCATGACGTATACATAAATCTATCTTTTTCGTGTGCGAATGACAAAGAGGGCGTCAATTTGTCTATAGGTTTCTCTGTCTACGTTATTCAACTAACTTCATCTATTGTACTCAAAAACAGCTAACTTCGCAGTCACTACTCACCGACGTCAGCGCCCCTATATATTCCATAATTTTTAAGGACAGGCGGGCTATGCTTTAGTACGTAGTGATCGTTCTCCTGTTCCCTAACCTTCATGGTTCCTATGTCCAGCAGTGGACTTGTGAAAGGGTGTAATGTTGATCCTGATAATTCGTTACAAGTCTACTTATAATATAAAGTAAAGTAGTGATTTCAGAACCTAAAAAAATATAATAAAATAATTTATATTAATAATTCTGTCGTCTGATTTCACTTTTTTTGGCTCTCTCGAGTGAACTGAAAAACATCACAAGTTCAAGGTAATGACTGGATTGTGATCTATATTTTTTAAGTGAAAACTTCTTGAGAATCATTGTGATTTGAAACGAAAAAGCGACAATAAAAAGAGACAACATATACATCTATAATATTTGGCCTGTGAGAGAATGAGATAGAATATCTACAATATACAGTGTTTCCTATTGTCTATAACAGGGGTGGTGAACCAATGGCATGCGTGTCATCGATGGCACACGACACAATATTTTGGGCACGTCACCGAACACAAAGTTCACTATGAAGTATTTATGTTACGAACGAAAGCGACTGATCCTAGTTACATCGTGGACTACTATTGCTAATGTAAAAAAATAAATACATAGTTCGTTTTATCATCATCATCATTACAGCCCTTCACAAGTCCACGCCTCCCCCAAGGAACGCATAGTTCATTTACGCATAGCATTATAGTCAATTTCGTTGACAAAACTGTATTTAAAAGTTCATTTCTGTAACATTTAGGATTTCTTAACCCCAATATAAATTATTTATCATATAATTTGCAACAACAGAAGTCACATTAATGTTATTTTAATTTGAATTACGCGTGTAGCTGAAACATTTATTTATTCTTTGTTGTAAATAAAGAGTTTTGAGTCGATAGTATTTAGAACTATTATTTTACTAATAATCACGTAGTCAAAATTATTTTACGGCACGACTATTACCTAATTCGACATTTCTTTAGAAAAATGGCACGTTGATGCATAAAGGTTTCGCCACCCCTGATCTATAATATATTAAAATATTTAATATAATTTTTAACTCTGTATAGTTCTTGCAATTCACGAATTCGGTCGACCGGCATAAATTATGTATATATATATATATATATATATATATATATATATATATATATATATATATATATATATATATATATATATATATATATATATATATATATATATATATATATATATATATATATATATATATATAAATTATGTATATATATATATATATATATATATATACAATATGTAACTTAATTAACGCACACCCCCAGACACCCCCATTAGTATATTATGTAATAATCATAATACATACACTGAATTTTAGTTAAACATTTTTTATGCACTATTTATTTATTAAATTAGTTATACTAATTCCGGAAGAATGTTGTGGTCACAGTAAAAATCCACGAACGCAAAGACTTTAATGTGCTTGAAATAAAGTTAATTTTTCGTTATTTTTATTCAATGACAGAATTAGTAATAATACAAATAAAACTGTACTCTTAAAAGTCTTATTGCCTCAAGTTACGGTCCATTTCAGTTTGTTTAGACTGTACAGATTTAGTGTGACTGTAATTTAAGTAGTTTTAATTATTTTTGGGATAAAAAATTACCTATATTATAAATGATAGGAATCGATTCAGTAAACGATTCTGAACAAACTACTTTCTCAAAGTGCGTTAATTATGTTACGTGTTGTATATATATATAAGCTCTGCAATTATCATACTCCTGATACTCTGCTTTGGTCTCATACTCTCGAAGTTTAGTTCTCTGAAGGTTTCTCTTCTCCCGCATGTGAACTGTACACGTTTTTTTTTAATATAAAAGGGGGCAAATGAGCATGATCACTTGATGGTAAGTGACTACCGCCGCCCATGAACAACTGCAACACCATGGGAATTACAGATGCGTTGCCGGTCTTTTAGAAAGGACTAGGTTCTTTTCGTGAGGGTATCTAATTTATATCGGTCCAGAAAAATCACTAATGGTAATGGATTCCACAAGGAAGTTGTAAGAGGAAGAAAACTTCTTGTGAATTCCACAGTAGTAAGTGGAAGTATACCGCCAATCGTCCAGATGGTATGGATGGTTTCGCGAGCGAAAACTTAACCATACAGTTGCATTAAAAATTTCACCCTTAATTTTCCTCTTAATTCATTCGGACTCACATAAAGTATTTAATTTCTTTCATTGTATATTTTTGTTTCATTTAATTTAATGCTAAACAGTTTAGACTTACTTGTAGATGTAGAAGTTGTACTCATTGGTATCGAGCCTCGAGTATCCAAACCTTGGCAGGGTGTTCGCTATCACCCAAACTTCGTCACCAGTTACATGAAGATCTGAAAAAGGTATAGTAAGAATTCGCCTTAGTTCTTCATATTCCAAGAGAATATAGGACAACCGCTGTGTGATGACTGTGTAAGAAAATTCACATTCCATTTATCGTGCTACCATATTCTTAAAACTCGTTAAAAAGTGTGAAGATTAGATTTAACGATAGAAATTTGCGTCGCCGCTGAGTTCCAACCCTAAATTCGGAGAGGTAAAAATTAAAAGAAAAATAATATATTTTCTTGTGTTTCATTTAATAAAATAATAAGATTACAGACTGAATATTGTATAAATATATATATTTATATAAATAAAATGATGGGGGGGGGTTGCAGTTGTGCGCTCATCAAGGAAAAACCACTGGATAGATTTCAATTAGGCTTTCCAAGTTTTATTGCTTAGACAATTGGCCCTTATCTAAAAAAAATATTGCGATCCCTTAATTTAATATAATTTATATTAAGTTAGCGCTCGCTGTAAATTTCACAGTACGCAAGCAAACCGAGTTCAATCCCCGCCGACACCAATGAAATTGTTAATTTCAATTTTAAGTGCTGATTTAACACGTGCTCGGCGGTGAAGGAAAACATCGTGAGGAAACCTGCATGTCTGAGAAATTCTGATTCTGGTTCTGAGTTATGTTAAAAATTTCAAGCTTATATAAATTCCACCCGCACAGGCATACACGAGAGCGAGTTGATAAAAATGTTTAAAACTATTATACCGTCACCATTACAGCCTATTCAAGTCCATGGCTGGACATAGGCCTCCCCAATAGATTGTCTCATAGGGGGGATTACTGGGTCGGCAGACATATTCTGTCCGACTAGCAAGTCGTTGTGTGCGTGCTGTGGCTCGTGCGCACGAGTCCGTACTGTAACGTGCCAGACACGCACACATATTACTTTCCGACTTAGCAAGTGCCGTTGTGTGCGTGCTGTGGCTCGTGCGCACGAGTCCGTACTGTCACGTGCCAGACACGCACACATATTACTTTCCGACTTAGCAAGTGCCGTTGTGTGCGTGCTGTGGCTCGTGCGCACGAGTCCGTACTGTCACGTGCCAGGCACGCACACATATTACTTTCCGACTTAGCAAGTGCCGTTGTGTGCGTGCTGTGGCTCGTGCGCACGAGTCCGTACTGTCACGTGCCAGACACGCACACATATTACTTTCCGACTTAGCAAGTGTCGCTGTGTGAGTGCTGTGGCTCGTGCGCACGAGTCCGTACTGTCACGTGCCAGACACACACACATATTACTTTCCGACTTAGCAAGTGCCGTTGTGTGCATGCTGTGGCTCGTGCGCACGAGTCCGTACTGTCACGTGCCAGACACACACACATATTACTTTCCGACTTAGCAAGTGCCGTTGTGTGCGTGCTGTGGCTCGTGCTCACGAGTCCGTACTGTCACGAGCCAGACACGCACACATATTACTTTCCGACTTAGCAAGTGCCGTTGTGTGCATGCTGTGGCTTGTGCGCACGAGTCCGTACTGTCACGTGCCAGACACGCACACATATTACTTTCCGACTTAGCAAGTGTCGCTGTGTACGTGCTGTGGCTCGTGCGACGTCACGCTGTCACGTGCCAGACACGCACACATATTACTTTCCGACTTAGCAAGTGCCGTTGTGTGCATGCTGTGGCTCGTGCGCACGAGTCCGTACTGTCACGTGCCAGACACGCACACATATTACTTTCCAACTTAGCAAGTGCCGTTGTGTGCGTGCTGTGGCTCGTGCGCACGAGTCCGTACTGTCACGTGCCAGACACGCACACATATTACTTTCCGACTTAGCAAGTGTCGCTGTGTGAGTGCTGTGGCTCGTGCGCACGAGTCCGTACTGTCACGTGCCAGACACACACACATATTACTTTCCGACTTAGCAAGTGCCGTTGTGTGCATGCTGTGGCTCGTGCGCACGAGTCCGTACTGTCACGTGCCAGACACACACACATATTACTTTCCGACTTAGCAAGTGCCGTTGTGTGCGTGCTGTGGCTCGTGCTCACGAGTCCGTACTGTCACGAGCCAGACACGCACACATATTACTTTCCGACTTAGCAAGTGCCGTTGTGTGCGTGCTGTGGCTCGTGCGCACGAGTCCGTACTGTCACGTGCCAGACACGCACACATATTACTTTCCGACTTAGCAAGTGTCGCTGTGTACGTGCTGTGGCTCGTGCGCACGAGTCCGTACTGTCACGTGCCAGACACGCACACATATTACTTTCCAACTTAGCAAGTGTCGTTGTGTGCGTGCTGTGGCTAGAGCGTGCGAGTCAGTATTGTCATATTTTTATTTTCAGTCGTTATTTGATAGACGCTACTACCCTTCTCGTGGTTTGCTTCCCTCTGTCACCTCATATAACACCCCCGGGATGATATGGGATAGTAGATATTCTTACACCGCCACTGCGCGGTAACTGTTATAATTACGAACGAAATCTACAGTTCTGTGACTTGTGTTACGTAACGTTAACGTTGAGATTTTTTTTTGACCAACGAGCACACAGTCCACCTGATGGTAAGTGTATACTGCGGCCCATAAATATCTATATTCATTCTGGATTAAGGATCAAAACGCAGAAACGTTGTCACCCCTGAGAACTAAGATAGAAAGCCTCGTTTCCAGTAAAAAAGTGTGGCGAAGAAAGTGGTGAAGCCTCCATAGAAGCCCAGAAGCCGGGCTTGCTCTATAAAAATGCTGTCAATAATATCAACTAATAAAATAACTCGGAAACTGTTTCAAACCATTTCAAAGGGCATGACCTCGTAGAATATAATGTGTAACGTCAATACTTGGTAGAATTTATTAAAGCAAGGAGTTTATTTTGTCAAAATGTTCTATAATTAAATATAACTACGAAACCTGTGGCAAAATATTCTATAATGAAATATAAATATAACTATATTATTTATATAGCAATTACTATGGAACCAAAAGCCGTGCTTTGCCCTGAAGTTGTTTGGGAATGCGTTAGCAAGTGGGGGTACGGTAATACGTATGCAAGTTCACTTCACATTTCAATGTTTATGTTTGTTTTTGATGTGTATGTTATGCTAGGTTTTATGGTAAGTTAGTTTACTAAAAGGCTCATATGAGAATGAAAAATAAGCTTCGTGTTATTGTATTGGTGGCTTCGAAGATCCCGACATACTTAATAGTTGTATTATCTAAAAATTTTGCACTATTTTCGCTGCTTCTTCATTTAATTTACTTTTCAAAAATTGCATTTTCTGACTGTTTGATAATTCTCTGTTGCTATGTATAGTTTCGACGAACAATCTATAATGGAAACCACTGGAACCACTGGAAGTTGCTCCCATTGAACGTGGGGATGGCATTCTTGGGGTTCTTCTCCTAGTAAAGATCGGACCAAATCTAACCTTTTTGATATTGTTGCATTTTTGTTCATAGCTGTTAAAAATTTCTTTATACTCTTTATATCTTCGTACAGATCACTGTCTATTTTCCAGTGCAAAGCAACTATTATCATCAAGCGTACCTGAACCAACTTCGGAATATCCTCATGGTTCCATTTTCACAAGAAGTCCTCTTGTCAGCAGAGGCAATGAACATTTATAGTGACCCATATCCCGGCTTACATAATACAATATTAGAAGTTTGTGTGTTATGCTTTTTCAAATATTTTTAGTGAATGTAGGAGGATAATAGTGTTCCTTGTGATGAATATAAGTGTGTTAAAGTGCTAATCGGCGAGGAAAAGGTAAAATCTTCAAAAATGAAATTTTAATTCAATAAACATTTCTACATACTTTGATAAGTACAGGGCTCTTTAGTATTAAAGTTTAATTATTCTAGGCGTATTTAAAGGTGTAATAACTCAATACTTATATTACCATATGAGTTAAAAAAATAATTTTGAACTGCAGCATAAAATACGAGATACCTAGGTATAAGTTTAATTTTATAGCAAATAATTGTTACAATCCTTTTTTTAATGTGAAGCCCTAATTTTAATGTAATAAATTAAATGAATAGATGTATTGAGGTTTTTAAAGAATATTTAATTTAGTCCTTAAAGCTTTATCTTCTCAGTTCAGTATATAAAATTTTAATAGCGCCGTCTACTTAATTCTATAGGTGAAGTCATTTTATCGAACGAAAATTGATTGATTATCACGGTGGTACGTAAAGATTACGCTAAATGGCACAAACACGCTGTCGGCTAATTTAATAACTTAATTAAATTTATTTTAATTTTACCTTAAGGGTTAAAAATATAATGCCCTAGCTTCGCCACTGTCACCAAGCAAAATACAGCACTATTAAGCTGCTATTTTACGCTGGTATTCTGTGAGAGCGTGGTCCTTCCCTGGTCGAACCGACTCACTCGTGCTACAACCATAATATAGCTGTAGCGTGGCTATACTACGTATAAAACCTTGTGGTGTGTTATTGCCGTTCATTTTTAACCCCCGACGATAACAGAAGGGTGTATAAGTGCGGTTAGGTTTACAATTAGGTCGCCTGAATTTGAGGATTCTGTCACTGTGGAGGGTCAAGGGGGTTCATCTGAAGCAAAAATTACGTGGGGGTGCCACGCAATTTTTGCTGCCGGAGCAGCGTCGAAGTATTTTTAATTATTTTTTATAAATATTTGTATATGACTAATTAATTAAATATTCTCACGTTTTTGACGATAGATCTGTCACTGTCAATTCGATATGGTACTGAATCGATCTAGTGAATCAAAATTTCACCCTAGAGAATCGAGATCGAATTTTTTTCCGTTTTATTAAGAACTTTAAAATTATTTACATAGTAAACCCTTTTTTTTTTTTTTATCCCCCCCGCCCCCCAAAAAAAAAAAAAAAAAAATAAATTAGTTGAATGTACCCCAACTCGTAGGGAATGATAGTTTTTCAATTCAATTATTCAATGTTATCTGTACTTTGTTGTATCTTTTGATATTGTAAATATAAATTCAGACCGCCCATCAAAAAAAGATCGATTTTTGCGAAATCAGTTTTAAAAATTTCGATTTTTTTTTTTGTGAATCGATTCATCCAATTTCGATTCAAACCTATTTAAAAATGTGTAAAATAAGTCGCTAGGCAGGCCATTTTGTTGACAGCTTTACGTCATGCCGTCATGCCGTTGCTTCCGAGTCTCAGAATTTTGGTGAATAGTGGAATATTTGTGGCGGCGGAATATTGCTAAATATCGCAAAGATCCTTTCTTACAAATGGTGGCAGCCATAAATTATGTTTATAAATTAAAGTAGTTATAAAAGTTAATATTTTGGTGTTATATTGAGTGCAATAGCGAGCGAAGCGAGCCTGGGACGTGGGGCACCCTGACTCGGACAGGTTAGGTTAGAAGGGGATGACGGGGTCGAGTGAGCGAGCGAAGCGAGCGAATAGACCTCGCCATCCCCTTCGTGTTTATTTCTTTATAAACCACTCAGAAGTAGGAGCCCCGCGAAGCGGGGCTCTGTTGACCGGGCTTCACTTGACCGCACCACGTTAAGTGGCGTGGGTATTCCGTCCCCCAACTCTCTCTCCCCATAAATCAGATTAAAATTGTCATAAAAATTACGAAACATAACCTCAAAATGAGATTTTTAAAAATTTATAAAAAAGCTAAGCACGTGCGGCAAGAAGGGGAAGTAGGGGGTGACTCCCCCCACACTACCCCACACCCCCTAATTCAGGCGAATTAATTGTAAACCTTACCCTATAAGTGTGTACTGTGTATCTTTGTATCTGTGTGTGACGTCATAGCTCCCAAACCGATGAACATTTTCGATTAACTTTTTTTCTTTTGGAAGGTGTCCTAGTTAGGTGACCTTAGCTATGTTTCTAGAAAAACTGTTCAGCCGTTTGGAGATGATCAGACCTTTTAGTTTCGGGGGTTTTTTAAATTTTCAATTAAAGTTTATTTTACTATTAGCGTTCACGACAGTAGAAAGATAGTTAGCTAACACCACGGATCTTAGGAAATTAATACCTGAAGGGTAGCTCATCCTCTGTCGATCCTGAGCCAGTATGGCGATGTTGCTTGGTGTGAGCGCTCTTCCAGTGTGCCAGCAAGACACAGCATCCCTGCCGACCTCCGCGAAGAACACCACCCGTGAGCCCGCGTGGTAATCATGCTTGGTGCACTGGCTGTTCTCCCCACGGTCACCTACTTTCTAGAACCGAAACATCATAAAGGAATGGGTGCGGCAATATAACCGTGTAGTGGTGGCACGTTGCAAATTAGCAAGATAATAATGTTCTTTGTAAAATTGTTAACAATTATCCGGTCATCAAAATATTTTAATACTTGTAGAGTTTTGGCGGGAATTTAACTTGATGGCTGCTCTTGTTTTACTGTATCAATAATGCTTTGAAGTCGATTCTGATACGTAAAATTGGTAAGATTTCTTGTATTAAATGTCTGCGCATGTGAACTATTGGTGAAAACGATGAACCAAGTGCTGTCGCCTCTTACGAATATAAGGTAGTACTTCACTTCACAGTTCACTTACGGCACAATTGTAGAGCTTGATTACACCCATATATTTACTAGGTAGCTAGATTAATTTTCTAACCTGGGTGTCCGTCTGTGATGATATTTCCCTCTTACCAATTTCTCCCGCTCAATATCAGTGCTTGCACTATTGTGCTCCAGGCTGAAGGGTATACAGAACCAGTTTAAGTACAGGATGTGAGGCATTCCACCTTAGTCCTCAGAGCTGACATTGCACTTGTCGACTTCTTAGCTGGCCGTTGGCTGCATGGACTGCAATAGCCATGTTACCAGGTATACTGTACGTTCGTTTATAACTTGTTTCGTAAATAAAAACACCCAGTACGACGGGCTTATTATACCTATTAAAAATGGCATCACCCATATTAACCTACTCTGTTTCCTCCCCAAAACTGGATCGAATAAATGTTTTATGTATGATTGTATGAGGTACAAGCGATTTTACTTGATCATGCTTACTTACCCTTTCGGCACTATGACATCTCAGGCGCAGTTAACAGGTTGAAATTATTCGGCAGCGATAACCTACCAGGAACACATATGTATGTAGGAGATTAAAACGATTTTACTTGTTTTTTGGCTGACTTACCGAGAACATAGAAAAGAATGTGCTATCCTGGCTGGCGGTTCTATTTCGCAGTACGCACGTGGATACGGAGAACTCTTCAAAGCTGATCAGAGGATGGAAGTAAGCAACTCTGCAGCCGTCACGTCCCGGCTCGGTCAGGGTAATACTGAATATTCCATCGCTCCATTGGAAATATTGACCTACAAGAACATTATAGCAGTATTTAAGATGTTTTATTTTTAAGCTATTGCATAGCTTCTATCGCGGGCCTTGAGCGCGGGGACCGAATCCAGAAATTCCGTAACGAAAAAACCTCACGCTCCCCACTCCGACAGCCACGGAGGTGTGGCGTTGAAAGTCGTGCATCGTCTAACGTCGTTTTAGTTCGGCAGACTTCGGCACTCGGCAGACTTCGGCACGGTGTTTGTGTGCGTGTAAACTAGCTGCTAACTCAATGATAAAAATTCCTGAATAACCTACATGTATTGTAAGATATTAAAAATATTTTAAACAATATTAACTTCTCATTTATTCAATAAGAGAAAAAAATTGTTTTCTTATTGGTCACCACGCTCAAAAAGTGTAACTTGATTTAATATCAAAGACTTAACTGCATAAATAAAATAAATAAATAATTATAATTGCATAAGTTGATAAAAAATGCTACGCAATAGCTTTACCGCGGCAGTCACCGAGTGCCACACGTATTTTCTGTTTTATTTTTAGTCGTTATTAGGAAGACACTGCTGCCCATCTCCAGATTTGTTTCCCTCCGTCGTCTCTTACCTCAGCCTCAGCCACGAGATGATATGATAGTGGATATTCTTACACCGCCACTACACGGTACTGTTTCGTATAGCAACTTGTAGCTATAATTATATCATATAATTACGAGAGGATTATCGCCATACATAATGAAATTGTTATTTGTAAGTTACGTGAGGGTAATATGCTCACCTTAAGCTTAAGCACTTCCTCTCTATAAAACCAAAACTAGGAGGAGGATAGATACAAAAACAAAAAGTCGTATACTATAACTAATATGTTAAATAAAAGCAGCAAATAAGCTTTGGCAATGCTTAGAAATATTTCAAAACTCTACGAACGAAAAACTAACTACATTACGCCATACTAAAATCGACTAAAATATTTACTATAATATTGTTATGCGGCTAAGTTAACATCTGACACTAGCGGCATCTAGTTTCGGGTAACGGAGCGAGGGGAGAGCTTTCCAGAAAATGACATCACTAATCAATTTTAACCGACAGCGCCATCTGTTGTCGAAACGAAGAACTAAGCTTCTGGAAGCTGACTCTCGAACTTTCGGCACTTTGTCGATTGGTGCGCGTATTTACTTGAATGTTCTGGATGATTCGGTACTAATGTGTATTTATAGGCGCTGCAAGGTGCGATCGGGGAAGTATTGAATTTGGCGAGACAAGCGAAGCTTCGGAGCGGAATAAAGTGAATTAGTGTGCTTAATTATTGGTGTTTTAAACTTTAATTTGTGTAAAGAATATTAAAGTGTTAATTTAGGTAATCATATCGGTAATTTTTATTGTCACGAACCTCAAGTCCGTAACAATATCAACTGTTAAAATGGCGTCGATAAAGCTTGCGTCCTTTTGACTCTTTATTATATGATTGACTGATGAGGAGCTATCGTATCATAATAATATTATAGCCTTCTATGCAAACAAGGCTGTAGTTTTTGAGTTATAAGAAAGTGTCCATATTAACCGGATAATATTACCCTCACTTACTATAATTTTAATTGCTGATAGCGGAGAAGGAAAAACACAAACAAGAAAAAGGCAAACAAGTGAGGTAACCTATATGTCCAAAAAAAGAGAACAGAGGACATGTGAAGTGAAAAGTAGCCACATAATCTACATGATACTAGATTTATCCAATAATAATGCCACACAAAATACAGCAGCATTATGCTGCTATTTTACGTCATGGCATGGCAATTCGACACAATCGGAGAGAGATCAGGCGCAGGACCAAAGGCTTAACGCGCTTTTCAAGGCACGGGAGTGAGACACCGTCAACTTATTGACTCCGAGCAGGTAGTGAGAATTTCTGGTTGAAAAGCTTAATACTAAATTTTTTTTGGTTGGACCCGAGATTCTAACCCGGTATCTATGCTGCAGCTACTCTTACATGTAATGTGAATACATATTCTGCGACAATATTAGCACTAACCACCATGTGGTATCACCCATTGGCTTATAAGTTATAAATAATAATAACTACTGCAATAAAAAGATATACGTATAAAATAAGTCTCCAACTCATCTAACTCGAATGAACGACTTACCAGCTATCCTCAAGTTCCCGACGGTAGGAGTGAGATAGAAGTAGTTGTGAGAGAGACGCCAGCTGTCGTTCTCTCGCAAAGAATATACAATGAGACCGTAGGTTGCGAGGTCTGTGACATAAGCGTATGCATTCCTACAGTCACCGACGATGTCTACCGTTATTGAGGCCAGACCTGTGATATAAATATGCAGTCATCATCGTCCAGAAAGATATTATTTATGTTTTTAGTGTTGAATTGAATATAGTCTATAGATAAACCTGTCCACTTGGAGCCCGTAGGGCCCTGGGCATTTACATCTACCTTTGATTAGGAATGTGAATGCAGATGCGTTGTTACCCCTTGAGGGTTAAGATGAAATGCCTCGTTACGAGCAAATCTTCGCGGTTTTCGTTACTCTACATTCACCATCCGGTTCTCTACACTCACCGTACGAAAAACAGCAGCATTGAGCTGTTATTTTACGCTGGTATTCTGTGAGAGCGTGGTCCTTTTCCGATCGAACTATTCGTGCTACAACCATAATCACAGATTAAATAACGTTATCCATAAACCCCATAATAGAATGGCAGCGTAGCTCTAGAACGAAAAAAATAAAGAAGTAAAGGGCAATTTTTTTTCGTCTTTCGATATTTCGATTGAAGCACGTGGCTAGTATAGTATGTAAATGACATCATCTGATGCGTCACGCGCGGTATTGGCTGTTTTCGATCGAAATAATTATTACTGTAAGTTTTTTTAATATACTTTTCTTTAATATATCGCCAATTCGGTCGATAAACTTCAGTATAGAAAGTCCCTTGACGATTCTGCTACTCAATTATGCAGTATATAATTTCACATTCTAAAGTCATGGCTTTTATTCTTCTACTTCTGAATGTGTAATTATTTTATTCTTTTTTTTTTAAATAGAATAAGGGTGACAAACGAGCACACAGTCCACCTGATGGTGAGTTGAGGCTGTGACCCATTAATCCTAAACACCTACAAACACCTATGCAGATGCGTACTATTAAGGACTAACATGGAATGCCTCGATTTCATTAAAAAGGCTTCCCAGTTCTCTACACTCACCACACGAAACACAGCAGCATTAAACTGCTATTTTACGCTGGTATTCTGTGAGAGTCCTTCCCCACTCGAGCCGACCCGTTCATGTTACAACCATAATAGTTGCAGCGTGGCTCTACCACGTTGATTGCCTAATAGGGAGACCATAGCTGCCACGCCTGGCAGGGCTTTGGTTGTGGCAATCGAAGGTTTTTTATTATTTTGAGTAGTTATCAGGAAGATGCTGCTACCTGTCTTTTGATTTAGTTCCTGCTGTAGCCTCTTATGACATCCACGGGATGATATGGGGCAGAGGCTATTCTTATACCGGTACCATTAGTTAAAATTATATTAACAATAGAATCCGTAAAAAAGACGACCAAATTTTTTAAATTAAAATTTCTAACCTGCAGGGGTGTTGGCATTTATGAGGTCGGAGCTCTTGAGCGGATACCTCATGATTTGTTGGTTTGTCGCAAGATCATAGATTACAATGGCCGGCGCTTGAACCTGGCGAGGAGCCCCTGGAGATATTATTTGATTTTTAGAATAGAGTAAGTTTTATTTATGCGAGTAATAAATCCGCCCCGGCTTCACATGATGATTCCTGGATCTCGACAACAGCGCTACTCACTTGGTCCAATTGAGAATCTAAACTATACAGGGACCTACTCAAACACACTATAAATGTGTCAATCATGAATGATTCGTTCGTTTGAGCTGGTACACTCAAAAGTATTGATGATTCATTCATTTGTTTCTGAATGTTCCGGTACAACCAATCAGAAACAGTTGACGGAAATTTATTAACTCGTGATTGGTGTGAATTGTGAATGAGTCGAAAACGGAATCGCGAATGATCTTAATGCATTGTTTTTAGTGTAGGGTACTGGAGCCCAAAATGATTGATCGATGCCCATTTGAATGATCGATCTGAATGTACCGGTATGCGTGACGAAATGTACTAGAATAATTCAGTCACGAGAAATGAATGATTGACACATGTCTAAAACATACACAAAAAATTTCATCAAAACCGATCCAGCTGCTTAGTGGAGTTCAGTCACATACACACGGACAAAAGAATTATATGTATAAAGATAGATTAGTTAGTAGCAGTGAGGACGTGCTGAGGAGATGGTATAGCTTAAACACAGAATATCCCGGTAGGTGGATTGGATGCCTTGGCACAATTTTATGTCCTCCTAGTTATCCGGACCTAAATCCACTTGACTTCTTTTACTGGAACTGCATAAAAGGAAAAGTGTACTTGAAACCAATACAAAACCTAGCCCAACTACGTCGCAAAACAGCTGAAACATCGAGGGAAATAAACCGGAGGAGATACGCACGATTAGTGAAAAGGTCAACAATTTGAACATTTAATTTAGTTTTAAGAAAAATAAATATATTACAATATTTCCTAGTATTTCATTATCGTTAACTTTCGTCATAATACGACGATAGGGCGTCATTAACATACTTTGATATTTTGTTGTTCGAGTTTTTTATGTTCTAAATTGTTAATATTCGTAACAATATTTTTATAGATAGATAAGTAGCAATACTTCCACCATTTTCAAATTTTAATTAAATGGGTAGGCAAGTTGTTTAAGTTATTGTATATTTTTTTAAAAAACAAGGTGTCGAAGTTATGTGTTAAAACCTTTTTAACGATGTCTTAATTAAACTTTTTTTGTAATAAGCTAGAGGATATATTAGGATAACATTAAAAAAATACTGAAAAATTTAGAAACTTGTGATCACAGCACTTTTTTTTTGTTTAAAATAAATGAAATACAGGCTTAAATTATTTTATCACGTCGCATGATCGTGGATGATTAATTGAGGACTTGTATTAATCCTATTTTGACTGGAGCTGATATACATAAGCTTAGTTTTATTGGCGTTAAGAACAAGCCCACTATCATGAGACCACTTTGTTAGAAAGGTGAAGTCCGTTTGAAGCCGATGCAGTGCTACATTTATGTTAACGTCTGCGGATACTAAACATGTGTCGTCTGCAAATTGATGTATTTCACAGCTGTCAATCAGGTTAATCAGATCGTTAACATATGTGATGTAGTGCACGGGCCCCAAAACAGAGCCTTGTGCTGTGCCCTCTGTTACTCTCACCATAGAGCTAAGTTCCTCTCCAACCTTGACATATATGGTTCTGTCTTGCATATAATTCTCACACCATTTGTTGAGAGAACCTCTAACTCAACAGTCATTAAGTTTTTCAATAAGCGTACTGTGCCGCAGGGTATCAAAAGCTTTACTGTAGTCTATGAATACAACTAGGACATGTTTTTATATTATTAAGGTGTGTGTAAATGGCATCTGAAAATTTACTTAATAGTTTTATAGTGCTTTTTCAGGTTGGAAACCGAATTGTTCTTCTGTTATAATATCTGTTGTTTGAATAGAAGTTTAGTATTTGTCGAGTGAGAAATTTTTTAATAATTTTATCAATTATAGGCAGTATAGTGATGGGATAGTAGTAATCATAATATTTATGATTAGTATTAAAAGAGTAATCTTAGTGTAATTCACTTATAAAGAAGTGTTTACTAAAAGAAGGTGGGCGGTATATCGCTAACAGAGTTGCCGAATATTTATTTGGAGTGGTTATTTGGCCTAAAATGCATTGCAAGTAACGTGTTCTTTTATTGTAAACTCAAAATTTATATTTTTTATGAAAGTACATAATAATACCTCCTCCTTTACGATTATTTCGCAACTCTGTGTACATATATACCCTTCCATTTGGTACAAGAAGCTGAGTGATGATGATATATTTGCTTCAGTAACAATAATTACATCTATCAATTTCGTACATGAAATAATTCTTTCCTCAAGCGCAGAAAAAAAATTTTTAGTGAACGTATGTTAATATGTTAACAAAATAGATTAATATTACTAGGTAAATTATTTATAAAGTTTTGGACATCCATACAGTTTTTAATCTCTGTTACACCGGAATGTAAGCTATTCATTAAGGAGAAAGTAATCATACACTGTTTTTACGTATTATTAGCTTATGTATAAATAAATACCTATTTATTCTCCTAGCTGGTTAATATCATTTGGATATCATACCTAAATATGTGATCTAGGGATTTTTAACATTTTTAAAAGTATACCTACGAGTATTATTACTTAACCAGGTAACTAAAACCAAAAGTGCTACAACTGGTACCACCTAGCTTATCGCCCCGTACCCGCTTGACGTTGAGTTTTTATATATATAGAAAATAACATAATATATTACTTAAGAGTATATTCCTTTCATTTAATTTTTGTTGTTTCTTCCCCGTGCAATAGGAACCCCACTTGGAGATGGTATTATATGAAGAAAAACATGTTGACATACGTCAATAGCGATTTTAATTACTTATGTCGAAAAAATTCTCACCAGGTATTTCAAGTAGACCAGTATCCACCATCCAAAGTCTACCGCATTCATCAGCTCGAGTCCTATAAACGGATGTGAGGCTCCTAGACTGTCTCATATTAGGGTAAGGTCGAAGAGGTGGGGAGCGAATGTTCGTATCCCTTTTAAGGTCAATGTAGTTGAGTGTCGCAGGTATACCTGGAAATTCAAAGAAAATTATGTCGTAACTGTTTGCTTTGGTAAATTATTAAAATATCTCATGTGATCAGCGATATAACTATCTCGCTTGAGCCACCTTCGTCTAGGGCAGGGGTCGGCAACCTTTTAAGTCACAAGAGTCAAAAATTACAATTAACAAAATTACAAAGTTTTTAAAGAGCCACAATTTTTTTCTTGCCTACCATAAATAGTACTTGCATAAATAAAGTTTTTTGATAAAAAAAACTTATCTGTTTATTCATAAAAAAAATATATTGCATAGCATTCATCACATAAAAGTAGTGTTTTTTCACAACAAATTAGAATCTAATTTCTATTATTATTATCTATTTATTATACGCACATGTTTTTTTAAATCGATCTATTACATTTCTAGAAATCAAGTATCAACTTCAAATGGCCCAGTGTAGATTTCGTGTGTGTAAGTACGGTGAAAAACGAGTACAAGTGGCTGAGAGATAGAAATGGTACCTAATACTCGTTAATCGATTCAGAACGATTCTTAAATGTTTTTTTATAAAATAATTAATATTTGCGTATGGAACTAAAGAGCCGCAGCTTTGCATCCAAAGAGCCGCATGTGGCTCGCGAGCCGCAGGTTGCCGACGCCTGGTCTAGGGCGTCCCTTTCTAACTCTGCCGTTCACATCTTTAGTATATATTTGCTTTGTCACTATTTCCTTTTTCATACTTTCTACATGACTAAACCACCGAAGTATTCCTTTCTTGATCCTGGTCATAACATCATCTTGAAAAACCACACTTTTGTCTTATCACAATTACTCACCCTGTCATTCAGATTCAGCCCTAGCATACTCCTTAATGAACGCATCTACAGTATTTATTTTACTCTCGTGCTTCTTCTGCCACACCCAACTTTTAATACCATACTAAAGAAGGGACTAACACAACATTATGAATTGCCAAACGTGCCTTTTTTGGCACATTCTGACTTTTCACAATAGAGTGGAGAATTTCGTTTTAATTTCTCCCCTTTCAAAAGAGAAGAAATTATAACGATATCATCATCATCATCATTACAGCCCTTCACAAGTCCACTGCTGAACATAGACCTCCCCCAAAGAACGCCACAAAGCACGGTCGTGCGCCACCTGCATCAATCGACTTTCTGCTTGTGTTACCAGGTCTTCACTCCATCTAGTAGGGTTCGCCTCACACTTCGCCTACCTGTACGCGGCTGGACTCAAGAACCTTGCTTCCCCATCGGTTGTCGGTTCTTCGAGCTACATGGCCGCCCATTGGTACTTAAGCTTACTAATCCGTTACAAAAACGATATGTGAGATAAGAATAGAAAAGGGGTTAGATGAACAATTGGACGAGTTTGTGTATTTAAGTTATGTGTTTAGCAGGAATAGTAGACATAACAAGGATATAAAGAGGAATGGGTCGTCTTAACCGGGGTAGGACCACGCTTATGACTTACGGCTCACGACTTCCACAGAATGCCAGCATGATGCTGCTGTGTTTCGTATGGTGAGTTTGGAGAACCGGAGACTCTTTTTACTGGAAACGAGGCATTCCATTATAATCGTCAGGAGTGACAACGCATCTGCATTTTGATATTTAATCGAGGATAGATGTAAATGTTTATGAGACACAGCATCCATTTACCACCAGGCGAACTGTGTGCTCTTTTGTCACCTTATTTTATAAAATAATAGAACAACGAGTGAACGAAGAAAACAGAGTAAATGGGGTTCTTTACTCTATTGTGGGATGTTAGAATGTGTCACCAAAAGTACGGCAATTGGCAATACTGTGTTCACTCCCTACTTTATTTTAGGGTAGTAAAATTTGCAGCAGAAGAAGCTTGGGAGAAAAATGAATGCTGTAGAAATGCGGTTATTAAGAAGTGTATTAGGGCTGACTGCATGATAAGAGTAAAGTGAGGTTTACAAGATGTTGTAACTAGGATTTAGAAAGAAATGCTTTGGTGGTTTGGGCATGTAGAAAGACTGAATGAGAAAGGACTGACAAAACAATGTAGCAGAAGTGAACGGAAGAATCGGCAAAGGATGCCCCAGACCAAATTGGCGATATATTGAAGATGGAGCATCCTTAACCGACGAACATGTATGCGTGGCTATATTAATGTGAAAGAGGTGTGTCAGAATCGTGTTAAATGGAAGTCCGTGGTCTCTGCCTACCCTTATGAATAACAGGTGTGAGTGTTTATGTATACTTTAAAACTGGGGTAGTTGAGATGTTTGTCTTATTTAGTAATTCGTACCATAACGTCTCCTCGGAAGGGACACAAACAATATGTCGCCGACTCTTTCCATTCCCATCGGTACATTGTTGTATTGTATGAAGAACCTTCCAGCTTCATCTGAAATTGTTAAACATTAAAATTATTTATTCTTGGAGCCACCCCAATCAAATCCCGTGTCTGGCAAAAATCAGTTGGTGGGTTTTTCTATCAAGATATTTTCAGTAGCAGCACGAGATCAGAAAATTGGCCGTGTATCAATCTCATGCCTCGAAAAGCACGTAAAACCGTTGGTCCTGCGTCTGAACTCTCTCCGATCATATCATATTGATGTCCCATCGGACTATGAAAGAGAGGCAATAGGGAGTGCAACTGTGCTTGCGCATACACTTGGGCACTATAAACCTCTCCTGCGCCGATGGCTAGTCTCCGGTGAGAAAGTAATTGATATTTATATATGGAGTTGATAGTTGTAACAATATATCCACGTACTAGAGCCATGCTGCAGTTATATTATAGTTGTAGCATGAATGGGTCAGCTCGACCAGGGAAAAACGCTCTCACAGAATACCAGCGTAAAATTAGTATAGAGAACCGGAGACCTTTTTAACCGAGAACAAGGCGTTTCATCTTAGTTCTCAGGGGTGACAACGCATCGGCAATTCTGTTCCTAATCGAGGATAGATGTAGATGTTTATGGGCCACAGCATCCACTCAGCACAAGTTAGACTGTGTGCTCGTTTGTCACCTTATAAAAGATAAAATTATATTTGAAGTGTGACAATGTAATCAGGCATATTTCAATTTACCACTGTTAGTTATTAATGGTTTTAACTCATTCTAGATAAATAAGATTTTCTCAGATGCATGTCGAAATCCCCACAGTTCGTAATATACTTTCTCAATCTCTTTCTCTCTTTTTTGTCTCTCTCAGAACAGACAGACGTTAATGGGTTAGGATTAGGTATTAAGCAATTTGAAAAAAAAACTTATCTCACCAGCGGGTCTCTCTGTGGTTGTAGGTTCATTGAAGTTAAACCAAGGCGAAGATTCTGCATTAAAAATAAACTAGGTCATTTATAATCTGTAAATCAACGTGCAAAATCTTTTATACTCTATAATAGTTTAGTATAGTGGTAGCAGTCACAGATTTCTTTAAAAAAAAACGTCGCACCCACACTAGGTTTTTCTTATGTATTTTGTAGGCAGTTTACGAACATAAATTGCGCCAGGACAAATATTCAAACCCGGAACAATTATTTGTAGGCCATACAAAAAGTTGTTCCGTGCGGGATTCGAACACGTAGCTTTAGCTTTGGAGCCGTTATCTATCCCTTAAATTAGGAGTATGGAAGTCCGAGTAATATTGTGAGTGCATTGAATTTACTGAACTTGTTAAGTTGGACACGCGTGATGTTGCTAAGTAGTTTTATTGTACACTCATTAAGTTCTACTCATATATTTCTTAATCTTATACGTAGAGCAATTCTACAGCTATATTATAGTTATAGCACGAATGGGTCGGCTTGACCGGCGAAACACGCTCTCACAGAATAAGGCCTCTTTTCCATTACACGGTTTCTCGCCGTGAAAATCTACGGTTAATTCGCCGCGTGTAGGCACGGTCGTCAGTGTGGTATGGATCACTATATGAGCTTGTCGACATGCACGGTGGCGCCAAGGCACGGCGCCGCGGCCGCGTGCGCCGTGACTGCCCCTCGGCGCGCCGCGTCTACGCACGGCGTGATTTTCACCAGTGTTGTATGGCAGTCTATCGGGGTGTGTCGACGGTGCCGGACGTACGCACGGATTCGTGACCGCTTATATACGCTGTTTCGCGATTTTATTATAAAATGAACATAAATCAAGAATTATTAATTACGTTGATTCAAGAAAGGCCTGTAATATGGGATAAGACCATCGACGATTATAAAAATAAGCGGCTTAAATATGATTCCTGGAAAGAAATATTTATTCATTTCCAGCCCACATTTGAAGATTTAAGTGGTGATGAGAAAAACAAGTTTGGTAAGTTACAGATATTTAATTATTAACTTTTTACTTATGCATAGTTGTTTTGATAGGAGAGGCGACCTTCGTTAGATACAAAATATTGTGCAAATCTGTTGCGAACTTCATTAGCCGCCAAACTTCCGCGAACTGCATTCGTGATAGGTAACTGGATTAGTTCCGATTCTGAATCAAGGGTGGACTCATTTTCACTCGCATTGTGAAACTGAAAGTTTTCCTGCTTATGTATAAAATTTTGCAAAACACAACATGTTTTCACAATATCAACTGCCAAATCGATGGACACATTCATTGGCCGGTGAAAAATTCGCCATTTATTGGATAAAATGCCAAACGCACATTCAACAAATCTTCGCGCTCTTGTGAGTCTGTAGTTAAATGTACGTTTTAATTGATCAAGCTGATGACCACCAAATGGACGAAGCAAGTGATAATGCAAAGCAAAGGCTTCGTCCGCAACGAACACATATGGCAAATCGTAGTCAATTCCAGGCAAACGTGTTGCATCGGGTAGATTTAATCCGTTGTTTGTTAAATTTTTCCAAAATGGGGTCTCTTTAAACACACTGGAATCACACTCCTTTCCGTAGGCGCCAACGTCAACAAATATAAAGTTGTAATCGCTATCTACTACTGCCATCAAAACTATAGAAAAAAAATGTTTGTAATTTAAAAACATCGAGCCACTATCAATTGGCTTAATAAGTCTGATGTGTTTTCCATCGACCGCTCCTAAGCACAGCGGGAAGTTGGAAGATTCTTGAAATTTGCTTGCAATGTGTAGCCAGTCTTCTTTAGATGGCATTTTCATATATTCTTTATACAGTTCTAACCAAATGTAGTGGCATACTTCACGTACGATGCAACTTATGGTTTTTATTCCAATTCTATAGCTGTAGTATAGGTCAGTAAAGGTATCTCCTGTTGCTAGATACCTGAAATATAAAACAAAACGGTTCAGGTTCAAATACTAAAACCCCATTTTAGGTCGGGGTCGATTCAGTTTAGGTCGGGGGTTTTCATAAATTTTGAATTTAATAATTATTATTTATTTATTTTCAGGGCAAATGGTGATGAAGAAGTGGACCAATATGAAAGATAGCTGGATAAAATATGACAAAAAAATTAATGAATGTAAGTCTGGTTCTTCAGCAAAAAAAATAAGAAAATATATGTTCTATGATGAAATGATGTTCCTAAAAAAAAATGTTGAGCATCGCAAGACCGATTCTAACATGACTGAACATGTTCATGATTCTAGCCTCAGTAATGAAAATTTTGATAGTGCAGTCCCGAATCAATCAAGCTCGGGATACACTGAACGGAGTGAGACGCAAAGGGCTAAAAAAAAAAGAAAAAATGAACTAAGTGAAGTTGACATTAGGTTTATGAAGTTTATGGATTCAGCAGAACGAGATGAGAAAAAGAAAAGCCGTAGTATGAACTTTTTTATGGGAATCGCTGATACAGTTGACAAGTTCAGTGATGAAAATATGATAGACTTTCAGTTTCAAGTAATTTCAATAATTAAAAATATTCAACAAAGACAGTGTACTCAGTATATACCTACATCAAGAAACCAATGGGATCAAGGCCATCAAGGATATTTAAGTGGTACAGCATCCTCAAATGCGCAATCGTCAACATATGGATATTCTACAGCTGCTAGATCGAGCTATGGAATAAGTCGTCCACAGACGTCTTCTCATGATTTTGGACACGGTTCTGGTTTAGAGCCAATCCACTACCGACCCGAATCACAATTATCTGTACATAGTGTAAATGCGGAAAGTATCTCGGCAGATTCTCAAGTTTCTATTGAAGACGAATTCGATTTTAGTACCGCACTTGAGTAGCATTTTCAGCGTAGTGTATTTTTTGATTTACTTGTTCTTAAATTAATAATTATTAAAATTCAATTACATGTAATAATTTTGTTTGTGTGCAATAAACAATTTTAAACTAAAATATGTCATTTAATTTTGTACCTACTTACCTCAGAGTTACAGCCAATCTTTCTGCGGGCGATATACTCTCTCGCATAAAAGTATCTTGATGTTTTAGTTCCTGGGATAATTTTTGGAGCAAGTTGTCGAATGTAGTTTTCTGCATTCTAAAATAATTGTAAAACTTGTCTTCATCTTCTCTCAATTGATTCTTGACAAGTGTATGAAACGCGCCATATTCCTCCCTTTTTTCTAAAATCGGATGTATCCAAAACCTTACTTCCCTTTTTTTTTCTATTTTCTTTTTCCTATATATGTAATAAGCAACTATAATCTTTTTTTTTCGTAAGAAAATTCATGACGCAGCACGTCCTACACAGCCCGAGTAAAAAGCGCTACTAGCCAGTACTTACCAATGTCTCGCGCGGTGATTTTGCCGTATCATGTACAAGCTAGCACGTTTTTTCAACCGTACGGCTTACACACCGTACGTTTGAACAACAGTGTCATGGAAAAGATGCTTAATGGTGCTGAGTTTCGTATGGTGAGTGTAGAGAACCGGAGATTTCTTTTTACTGGAAATGAGACATTTCATCTTAGCCCTCAGGATTGACAACGTATCTGCATTTTGATTATTAATAGAGGATAGATGTAGATGTCCATGAGCCACAGCATCCACTTACCATCAGGTGGACTGTGCGATCGTTCGTCAACATTACTCAGGTAATAGAAGACGACTTCACGATACAAGAGAAACTTTAAGAGCGGTGCGAACATCTCCAAGAAATAAATGAAAGGGAATAGATCTCATCACCATTGTAGTTAAGAGAATTAAGGAAAATAATCTAAATGGGGCAGAATAAAATAATTTTTATTTAATTCGTTATCGTCATCATCATCATCATCATTACAGCCCTTCACAAGTCTACTGCTGAACATGGATCTACACCAGGGAACGCTACAAAGCACGGTCCTGAGCCACCTGCATCCATCGACTTCCTGCATGTCTTACCAAGTAGTCACTCCATCTAGTGCGGGTCCTACAGGACTATGCTATTCTAGAACATTATTTATTCGTCGGTTGTCGATTCGTTGAGTTATGTGACTGAACCAATGTCACTTCAGCTTTCTGATCAGTTGGGCTATGTCGGTTCGGCAGCGAAAATCGTCGTTAAGATTCTATCAAGCAGAAAAACTTCAAAGCGTAACACCCTCTATGGCCCCCTGAGCGAATTCAAGCTTCCTTATGCGCAAGAATTGTTATTAATATTACATTAGACTTACAGAAAATTCCCAAAACATTCATAGAACTATGGTTATATCACGTGAGCAATAAATAATTTACTAATGAATATTTAATGAGATTATTATAAAGATGATCATTTAGTGGAAACTTTACCATTGCTAGGTATAAATAATTTCCTAGCCTATAAAAATCCACTGCGAACAAGGGCCTCCCTAGTAGTTTGTATAATTTTAAATTGCTAAAACTTTAATATTCCATAATTTCGATGCTTGCCAAGCAGGTTGGCAAGCATGGTATTTTATTATCATCTACTTCAGTATCTTCAGTATCTTTCGATACCCACGAAACAATTTTTTTTATTTGTATTTTTTAAATATGATGCAGCTGATATTCTTACTACATAGCTAGGCGGTTACTTTAAAAGTCAAGTATATATTTTATAGACAATAGATCCGCACCGTGGCACTACCAAAAAATACTTACTCTGATCAGAGTCGAAGAAAACAGCGTCAGATGAACGCCTCTTCGTTCTCTCAACTGGAATATCATCAACAAAGCTGTCTTGTGACACTGAAAAATAATTAATGTGTCAAATAATAATATCTGAACCATAGACAGAGAAACCTATAGACAAATTGACGCCTTCTTTCGCATTCGCACACGATAAAGATAGATTTATGCATGTTTCTTGCATAGAAATGAGACAGAGCGGTGTGATTGTTTGTCCCTTTCTCCGTGCCGGTTTTTTTGTTTAGCAAACGACACTTTGCTAAACAACTTTGACGTTCTAGCGCCAACACGTTCGTAGCGATCTAAGGAGTTTACAAGTTGGTTTAAGTGAGAAAAAAGTGTTTTGTGAGCTTAAGATTGGTGAATCTTGTTCAGTTCAATTCTTAGTACCATTAAAATTTTTATCTAAATATGTTTAAAAGTCATAAAGATTATTGTATAACCTAAAACTACGTTATCGTCCTTTCTCACTCGAGGCCACGGTAATCATTAGTCTATTGGTTTCTCTGTCTACGCTTGAAACGTTAATAATAATAAAATCATTCGAACCGAATTTCGGTGACGGCGGTCAATCTCAAAGGATACTAGCCATCGGCGCAGAACAGGATTATATTGCACAAGTGTATGCACAAGTACACGTGCACTCTCTATTCCCTCACTCTCATAGTCTGATGGGACGGTAAACCAACACGACCATTCTTAAAGAATAAGAAGAAGATTCTAATCTTTCGTAAAGAATAAGACCACCGTACTTCTGCTACACGGGGGGAAGCGCCAACATGGACACGAAATTAAAGATCTTTTCCACATCTTTTTCATTCCATTCTCGCTCAGAGCCTTGCCGTTTTTAAATTGCTTTCTAATCTCGCCCAGACTGACGTCCGCGTTATCATCAGAATAGTGTACGACGAGGCTTGCTTTTGGTCGTTGCTCAAACTTGTGTGTGGCTCCAACGATAATGAATACAGCTGTCTGTTGAACCTCAAAGTTCCAACCTACACACTAGAATTAGCTTCTACATCTAGCTGATACGAAGAATCCGGTTAAAAGAAAGGTTGGTCTCATACTTCAAAATTTGAAAGATACGGACTAAGAAACTCAAAATGTCACGGGTTCGAATGTGCCATTTGACCTGCCCTGAAGCACTCCTATCACTAGCATAATAGTTTAGCTGTAGTATTAGAGTGTCCTAGTATTGTGTTTTAAAGAAGAAATAAGCGTCAAAGCTATAGCCTAAATACCTCCAACATCTCCCATCGTTTTTCAAGAGCTAGCCGTGGCAGCCAAAGAGCTAAGCGGACGTAAATTTTTTTTAAAACTTTTATTTAACTTGCAATGTATGTTTATAAGTTTGTTACGGTGGAACTCAATTTTGAAGCAGATATTTCCAACCGATTAAGCTGAAATTTTGTATACACGTTTAGTTTGGATTACAATGCATGGTTAACTATATGACGTCATTGTAAATCAAACATGGCGGAACGCCCAAGATGGCAGACTAGTTAGTTTTAAAGCACGTCTCCTTTAAGATTTACTTATGAGTTTGTATCTCAGGTATGCTAGTAATTAACAAATTCTTATATTTTCGAACTAGCGATCCGCCCCGGCTTCGCACAAGTGATTTCTGGATCTCGACAGCAGCGCCACCTGCCGGATCCAATTGTAAATCTAAACTATCCAGGGACCCATTCAAACGCACAAAAAAATTCATCAAAATTGGTCGGGAGTTTTCAGCTAGGCCAACGGACACCAATTGATTTTTGTATATATAGATATACATATCTATATATACAAAAATATGTATTGGTTTAGTACCACAAAACGAAACTCACAAAATCTGAACCCAATAGGTGGCAATGTGATTCAGTGATTATAACATCTTAATTATATTTAGTAGAAAAAAAGAAAGAGATATTTGGCCATCTCCTTACAAATTTTGGTGCTCACCGCTCCTCTAACGTCTGCCGGGGGCAGCTAGTATACTATGAATCCTTGGTTGCCTCGTTGGTCTAGTGGTCGCCAAGGTAAAATAAACGCGGTTGCTGATGATGATAAGGTCTTGGGCTCGAATTCGGGCTGAAATCGGCTATCGGGTTTTTCTGTCTAAAAACTCTCAGTAGAAGTCCGGAGTTAAAAAGATGGCGCTGTTTCACTCCCGTGCCTCGTAAATCACGTAAAGTTGTAGTTCCTGCGCCTGATCTCTCTCCGGACGTGTCGGATCGCCGTCCCGTCGGACCACGAGAGTGAGGGAAGAGAAAGTGCACCCCTGAGCAACATATATTTGGGCACTGTATTCCAGTGACTAGTGTCCATTGAGACTGGCCGCCGCGACCGGAAGTCGGTCTGGAGGGCACTATTTTAATGTAACCGCAGGTGCGTCTATTAGTGATAGTGTAGCTTCTGAACGACTTGAGCGATTGAAATTGTTTTATTGTTTTTGTTTGTATGAGGATCCAATAGGTGAGGCCGTAGTCGAAGTCGTTAATTAATACTATCTTAATGGAACAAAATACCACATATTCGCAGTTTATGTTGAATTAGAGATAAAAATGGAAATGCCTAGACTTTATATATATATATATATATATATATATATATATAACATGTAACATAATTAACGCACTTTGAGAAAGTCGTTTGTTCAGAATCGTTTACTGAATCGATTCCTATCATTTTTAATATAGGTAATTTTTTATCCCAAAAATAATTATAACTACGTAAATTACAGCCACACTAAACCTGTACAGTGAAAACAAACTGAAGTGGACCGCTTTTAAGAGTGCAGTTTTATTTGTATTATTACTAATTTTGTCATTCAATAAAAATAAAGAAAAATGAACTTTATTTCAAGCATGTTAAAGTCTTTGAGTTCGTGGATTTGTACTGTGACCACAACATTCTTCCGGAATTAGTATAACTAATTTGATAAATAATCAGTGCATAAAAATGTTTAACTAAAAATTCAGTGTATGTATTATGATTATAACATAATATATTAATTGGGGTGTCTGAGGGTGTGCGTCAATTACGTTACATATTGTATATATATTTATTGTCCGGTCCTTAAAATTCAAAGACCGAGTCTTTCCCAGCACTAATTATTTGACGTTGGACTTACACAAATAGCCGTCTATATCAAATGTTAATTGCTTCCAAGCGAAGACCTCATGGAATCTTCCGAGGGTCCGTTGGTGTGACCATACTCCCGTGGTCATGAGGTAAATATTTATTTGCAGTAGGATTGTTATCAGGTTTCTTTTCGTCATTATTTCGATAAAATCTGCGAAGAAATAAAAACAGATAAACGCATTAATTCTAAATAGATAACTTAAAACCTAAAAAATAGTAAATACGACGTTTATACACTCGTTCGATCATGGTTATAGCATTAATGAGTCGACTCGACCGGGGAAATACCGCGCTCTCGCGGAATACCAGCCTAAAATAGTTGCAATAGCAACGTTGCTTTGTTTTGTATGGCAAATGTAGTGAATCGGAGACCCTTTTACTGCATACGAGGCATTCCATCTTATTCCTCAAGGGTGATAATGCATCTCCATTTTGATTATTAATTGGAGATAAATGTAGACGTCTATAGCCCCAGCACTTGCCATCCGGTGGACTGTGTGCTTGTTTGTCACCCCACCCCTATTCTATAAAAATAATTAGATTTATACCACAGTGACAGCTAACAGTGACAGCTACAGACGGTACGAACAGGGAATGTGGGATGCAATGAGATTTATAAAGACAGAACAGGAGAGGAGAGAGAGTTCCGCCTTGAGGAACGCAAGCAGACTACGAGCACCAATCAGAGACGACCTGACCTACTCGAATTGCCTGCTGACGACCCCGAAGATACGAGGAGAACCAGTCCCGTGCTGAGGAAGAGAAACCCAGATGACAAAGTACAGCTAGGAGAATGTCATGATCGACAGCATTAAAAGCGTTAAAAAATTTGAAATCTATTAGGGCACAGTCAATTGCGTGTTCTCCATTCCAGTACGAAAATCTTCTGTAACTTTCAAAAGAGCTGTGGTTTTGTACTGTGCCCAGGCCTAAAACCAGATTGTAGTAGCAGTAATTTACTAAACTTAGTAGGTAGTAAAAAGGTGTATTTAGTATGTATTATATACTTGTGTATTTTTGATTTTAATCGTTATTAGTAAGTACCTATGCTTAAAAACAAAATTAGCTTCATAACAGTCTTCACAAAACAACATCAGTCTAGTTTTAAGATGTAGGTAAATGAGCTATTTAATAGTTCAAATATTCTTAAATAACTTAGCAGTCATAAAATTCTAATTTACAAATTATTATGATAGTAGCTAATACTCTTTGTAACACAAAGCGCGTACACAAATACACGCACATAAATCGCTGGAAATCTTAAAGCCACAAATAATCTTTGCCTAGCACTTACAATTTTTCTTTAAACCGTATTTTGTTTTTCCATATAAGGAGCTAAACTTAATAGCTCCTCAAACTCCTCTTCCCCTATTCTCAGGTATTCGAAATTCATTGGGCTCCAGAACTCCGATAATCCGCATATTTGAGTGATTTTACCTAAGTTTTAAATAGACCTTCACCCATATCTTTCTTCTAAACACGACAAAAGTAAAGAAAAGAGTTCTTTACTATTAATTGCCATTTTTTTTCGTCTTCAAAACGTCCAGTAACAAAATTTTGGCCCTTATCCTACTACATCATACAAAACATAACGATATATCGATATTAATCACGCAACATTGATAATGTTTAAAAATATCGATTCAATAAATATATATACTTTTTTCACATCCCTATGACTGAGAAAGGGCGTAAAATCAGGGTGGTGTAATAACTCAGGTCCCTAATTAGGGGACACGCCCACCTTTCATTCAGGGCCCTGATTCAGGGTAGTGTAATAGGGGCATTAGTATATACTGGCGTAGCTAGAAAGGTGTCCGAATCGTAAAAAATGGAAGTCCGTACCGTAGTTTCCACTCTCCATCTACCCCTCTGGGTGACGGGTGTTAGAGCTTATGTTATGTATTTTGTTATATATTTTATTATGTTAAATTGTTTTTAACTTTTTTAATTTGTAAATTTTACTAACTAAATCATAACACAAGCTCAAGGTTAGATAGAGGTAGGAGATACCGCGTGACATACGTGCAAGAAATACAGTTGCATTGATAACCTTTTCATTATTGGTTAAAAATAATAATTAGTTGATTCCCGATTTTATCAAACAAACATACGTTAACTTTAAAGGGATCTGTCTGGTTTGTTTAATATCGATAGTTTTGAAAATTTGCAATATGTCCTGATAAGTTACTGCCTATATTTTTTAAAGACATATTATATTCAAACGCTAATCAATTTTAAGTTGTAGTTAATTGTCGCCGTGTCACAGTCACTTTGACTAGAAGTGATAAAGACATTATTAGACTTAACGGCATCTTCAAATTGAGCAACCTTTAAGCATTTTGGCATATGGGTGACAAACCATCACACAGTCCACCTGACGGTAAATGAATATGACATCTAAATTCTACATCTATCCTCGATTAAAAATCAAAACGCAGATGAGATATCAACCCTGAGAACTAAGATGGTATGCCTTGTTTCCATTAAAAAGGGTCTGCGGTTCTCTACACTCACCATAGGAAACACAGCAGCATTAAGCTGCTATTTTGCGCTGGTATTCTGTGTGAGCGAGGTTTATCCACGGTCGAGCCGAAAAGACCCATTCGTGCTACAACCATAATAGAGCTGTAACTTGTCTCTGCCACGTGTAAGAATTAAAATTAAACAGTTTCGCTTGTAAATGAAAATGAATATATTGTATAGATATAAATATATACATACTATATTTGATTAATACGTACTGCCTGTGTATATACGCATACATAGTATATACATAATTAACTATAACTGTTTCCGATTCAAACATCTATAAAATTTAAAAAAAGGAAAACAGTTAGAATTTAAGGATATAAAAAATGTTAAAACACAAACTACTCCTGCAATGCCAGAAAATGATTCCAGTGCAAGCGTTTGAACGATGCCTTGCTCGTGGCTGCACGTACACCGTTCGATAATTCGTTCCACAATCTTACCGCATGATGCGTAAAAGATTTAATACAAGAAGCTAGTGTGACAGCGGGGGACATGGAAATTAGGCTTTACCGCAGAACGGAGACAACGATTGTGGGTATCACCTTGATACTGAAATTTGCATTTAAGATATTCAGGGACAAACGGATCCTTTTTTTATAGGATAGGGTGACAAACCACAATCCACCTGGTAATGGTTGCTGCGGCCCAAACATCTACATCTATCTTCCATTACAAATCAAAATGCAATGCTTTCACCCCCACAATTATACATTCATATTCTGTGAAAATAAAGTAAATAAGGTAAAGTGTAAAAATAATGGGCACAGTATTCTGAAATATCTGCGATAGCGGAGAGGTAGCCATTTAAGCTAAGAATGATAAGAGGAGATGTGGTCGTATTTACGTAAACCGAAAATGAAGTGTATACAATTATTAAGAAGTCGATCCAGTTTGTTTAGAAGTTCTTGGGAGGCATCAGCATAGCAAACATCTGCATAATCTAAAATAGGCAACACTAGAGTCTGTGTTAGCATCACCTTAGTCCCTATCGGTAAAAAATACTTGAGACGATACAGATAACGCAAAGTGTGAGTGACCTCCATGCTCACTTCATATTTTTTTAAATTTATTCTTATAAAGAGTGTACATTATTACATTTCAAATTTTTCCAAAACGCCAACTGAGGGTGTTTTTTTTTTTATAGGATAGGGTGGCAATCGAGCACACAGTCCACCTGATGGTAAGTGGTTCCTGTGGCCCATAGACATCTACATCTATCCTCGATTACGAATCAAAATGCAGATGTGTTGTCACCCGTGAGGACTAAGATGGAATGCCTCATTTCCAGTAAAATGGGTCGCCGGTTCTCTACACTCACCATACGAAATACAGCAGCATTAAGCTACTATTTCACGCTGGTATTCTGTGAGAGCGTGGTCCTTCCCCGGTCGAGCCGACCCATTCGTGCTACAACTATACATCTAATATAACTGCAGCATGGCTCTACCACGTATATACCATGGCTCTACACGTATGTTGTCAATAACCAAGCCAAGATCTTTAACAGTTGTTGAGTAAGGAATAGCAACATTATTAAAGATTACAGGAGGGGTAGCGCCCTCATATAAATTTAGGGTAATCTACGAGAACTACCAACCACAAAAGCCTGCCATTTTGATGGATTAATCCTAATACCAAATCTGTCTTATGGCTGATACTTGGAAATTTCTCCAGATGATCGGGGTCGGTAAACCTACATGTAACGTGGACCCTGCAATCATTTCTATAAGTGATCTCAACCTACATTTTTCTTCAACTAATAAAATACAGGCTTCTGTTAAATCAAGTACTGGTCACTCTTAAGTTTCGCCGCCCTATAATATCAAAACTAGGAGCAGGGCAGAAACAAAAACACAAAGTCGTACTTTATAACTGATATATTAAGAAAAAATAATAGCAAACAAGCTTTGGCAATAACTAGGAACACTGAAAAATGAAGTTAAAAAAAACTGAAGTATACTACACAATACTAAAATCCACTAAAATATTTAAGTAGGTACTATAATGTCAACAGACAAAATGGCGCGGAAATTACTTTTTGATTGACTTTATTGATTGACTAATAAAGAGCCATCGTATCACAAATCTATTTATGAAAACAAGGCTGTAGTTTTGGAGTTATAAGAAAGTAAATAACTAAATTACCATATAACCTTCACGTAATTCTTCCTAGAGATAACATTTTCATAATTTTATTAAAAAAAAAACAAATGTATTAATTTTTTAACTATTTTTTTAATCGTTTAATTTAGTTTTTGAGTTATCAGAAAGTGACCATATTAACTGGATGACCATGTTACCCTCACGTACCATATTCTTTCTAGAGATAATATTTTCAAAATTTTATTTAAAAAAAAACAAATGTACTATTTTTTTTTGTCGGTGGGAGGTGTAATGTATTCTCCACGATAATATATATAAGTTTTAAGTTTAGAATAAGTCATAGAATGGACAACACGCCTCTCATTGGCACCTTTCCAACATTACAGTATCACAATTCCTTCATAAATTAATAATATTAGAAAATTAGTGTTTTTTTACAAAATTAATAAATAAAATACTTACGGTATGTACTATCCTTTAATGAATAAAACTTAAATCAGTTCCATAAAACGTTAGGTTTTTAAAATTAATAAACGGTTAAATACAAAAAGGTCACAGTTAACGCAACTAATCCGAAGATGTCGACCGGTAGGAATACTATTCAGCCGTCGTCGGTCGACAATCAATCAAGTGACTTTGTTTTACTATTTATTTGACGTCTTCTCACAACTATTTATATAAGTACATATCAATGTGAAGAGAGAGATGTGCTCATACGTTATCGACATTATTGTAATAATTGTACATAATATTTTTAACAATATATTCATGATTATGTATCACACACCACACATCTCTCACAGAATACCAGTGTGAAATAGCAGCTTTATGCTGCTGTTCCGTATAGTAAGTGCAGAGAACCCGAGACCCTTTTTAACTGAAACGAGGCATTTCATCTTAGTCCTCAGGAGTGACAACGCGTCTGTATTTTGATTCGCAATCGAGGATAGATGTAGATGTCTATGGACCACAGCAACCACTTACTATCAGATGGACTGCGTGCTCGTTTGTCACGCTTATTATTCAAATCATTATCATATTCATTATATATAGCTGCCCCCGCCCGCCCTTACTTTGGGTCAATATTCCTATGTAAAAAGGGGTTATTGTTTAATAAAAAAATCATTGCTCATAAACTATACGCCTATTAACCAAAATCAAGGCAATCAGAGTTAAGTGTATTCAAAGTTGCAAAACCCCTAATCTTTTTTCAGTAAGTTTGAGAAATGTCATAGCCATAGATTTTTTCCGAAAATTCGGTTTGTCTAATTATCCTACGACGACTTCTAGAATCCTTAATAACATCGATAAATTTATAATGTACATCACGACGAAGTCATTATTAAATATTTGCTTTACGGTCAACAGAACTATTAGATTACAAATATAATACTATATTTAGAATTATCAACACAGCTTTAAATAATTCGTAGAACAACATGCTCTTAAAAATGTACATGAAATCATTATCTTAAAAATGTATTTATAAAGAAAATTATAAAAGTTGGGTTTATAACTAATCGGATACCCGGCGTGTGTTACTACGCAGGAAAAAATACACTATACATAGTGTTTATTTGTTAGAAAAAAAGGTAATTTTGTTTATCTATTAACTTCTAGTTGTTATAGTCTTACTCGTACTATAGTCCCTAATGCGTTGTTTAGATGGAGTGACGACCTGGTAAGATATGCAGAAAGTCGATGGATACAGGTGGCTCAGGACCGTGCTTTTGTGGAATTCCTTGGGGGAGTCCACTGCTAATCATATGCCATGATCAGCTGTGGACTTGTGAATGGCTGTAATGATGATGATGATGAATGCATTGTTTTCGTGGTCAAATCCGATTTGGGGCACATCGGTTGAATGGTTTCAAAGTCTTTAACGGATGTAGGTAGAAACATTTTGTGTATATTATATACACATATATATATATATATATATATATATATATATATATATATATATATATATATATATATAAATAAGTGTGTGTGTAAACATGGGTGTGTGTAACTAACCTATACGTTATTATTATTTATTGAATTATTTGCCTTAGCCTATCTAATAACATATTATATTCTTTTATTGGTGTACTGGAAGATATTTCACCAAATTATGGAATAAGTAAAACCCTTGAACGAACTCTCTATATGACTGTTTCTGTATTTTTATGTGTATATAAATAAAAAAATATATCATTTGAGAAATGTTGAGTAAAAGTTATTTTGACGTCTGCGTGGCTCAGTGCTTAGCATTAAGGGGTACGGGGTTTAAGTCCGACAGGAAAAAGGTATTTTATACTACCACAAATAATTGTTTAGGGCCTGGATGTTGCCCCTGCTGGAAAAAAATGATGAGGTAACAAACATTAAAACAATACAGTCGAGTTGAGTACAGCCTCCAGTTTGAAGTCTTTTAGAAATAAGTGATGCAGTGTGCAGCTACAGGTTCGAATATATGCATATATATTCATGTGGAATTTATGTATGTAAAAATCTTTATTAATACAGAAAAAAAAGTAGAGTAGAAAAGAGTGTTTACGTGGTAGAGCCATGGTGCAGTTATATTAATAGTATAATTGTAGCACGACGCCACTGGAAGCATCACGCTCTCACAGAATACCAGCGTAAAATAGCAGCTTGATGCTGCTGTGTATCGTATGGTTAGTTTAGCGAACCGGAGACCCTTTTTACTGGAAACGAGGCATTCCATCTTAGTCCTCACGGGTGACAACCCATCTGCATTTTGATATATAATCGAGGAAAGATGTAGATGTCTATGGGCCACAGCAACCACTTACCATCGGGTGGACTGTGTGCTCGTTTGTCACCCTTATGCTATAAAAAAACCTATAATTTTCTTTAAAAATTTTAACTACATTTCGGGAATTTCCAAAATGATATAGCAATGTAAATACTATATGTTGATATAGCAATGTATATCCTATACCTTTAAACGAGCAATTCTTGTATATTTATATAATCGGAATCTCGGAAACGGCTCCAACGATTTTGATAAAATTTTGTGTGCAGAGAGTTTCGGGGGCAATAAATCGATCTAGCTAGGATTTATTTTTAGAAAATGTCTTTTTGTCCGGTTTTTAGGCAATGAAAAATTGCTACAATATCGTTAGAATAAGAAGGTAAATTTTGACAGTTTATTAACGATTACAAATAGCTTAATTGGTATATTGGGCGGTCATAAAATCGATACCATGGTTCGAGCCCAGACCGACCGACCGACATTTTTTAATTTTTTTTTAAGTTCCTTTCTTTTTTGAGAAAATCTATTTTTTCGTGCCCTTTTTTTAGTATTTTTTAAAAAAACACAAATTTAAATTAAACTAATTGCACTCATGATTTTTTATTCAAATAACCAGTTCAGATTTTTCTATTATGTCGCTACGATCAAAAAATATTCATATTTCATCAGTATGTAATTTGTATCTAAGTATAATTTCCAAAACACACGAATTAAAAAAAAAACGAGCGAATAATACCGAGCAAAGCTCGGTCAACCGGGTACTGTTTATAATAATAGATAAGAATACAAAATAATATTTTTATCAATGTAGATTTTAAATTATTCTCATTGAAAGTATTTTTTTACTAATATCACTGGTTGGGAAAACACTCTATCTTGGGAATAACCAGCGAGAAACCCCGCAATACGTTTTTTTTCTAAAGTATTGCACTTGTTTGTACAACGACCTCAACAACAACAACGATATGATCTGCTTATGGCCGGTATATATCGGTATGCAGGCGCACATTGGAAGTTTTGGACTCAATACAAAGCGTTGTAGGAAGCCTATGGGTGACCCGATACATCAGCCTCGAACACTGGCGCTAGCAAGCCCATCAGTTTTCTAAATAATTCATTTCGGAGAGTGTGCACAGGAATTGCATAACTTAATTCCTCTCTCTTACTTCCACCATCGGAACACCAGAATCTCGGCCAGTTTCCTTTCGTTGTCGACTTATCACGTATTCGAACTAAACGCATTGCTTCATCCGTCATGCGTACAGCAAAGGAGTGGAATAAGTTTCCAGCACATTTGACGGTTCCGTGGCGCAGTGGCTTGGCAATGAGTTACAGCGCTAAGGGCCGCGGGTTCGAATCCCGCACGGAACAAGTATTTGTATGGCCTACAAGTAATTGTTCCGGGTCTGGATGTTTGATGTAACTATGGCAATAAATTACCTCCCATAATAAAGGTTACGAAGAGACGGCCCCCAGTCCCCGGCGGCCCCGCTATTCCTGGTTACGGTGGCGACCATGGTATGGTTTCGTTCAGCATGGACCATGGACATGGACCATGGTGAACGAAGATCTATTTTGTCCATAGCATATGGACAAAATGGATTTTCTTTGATCTCAGTTAAACTTTAATAAAAAAAAATAGGTTGTTTATCTTTTAAATATCTATTAGATTTCATAGGTATTAAACCAAAGATTACTGGTGTAGGATATGAATGTGCTGTGATTTATTAATAAAGAGTTATGACCCAAAAACAAAACTGAATGCCATTTTATACGTATTTCCTCTAGCTATGACGACTAGACGGCAACTGTTCAGTCATGGCTCAGTTATCGCGAGGGTGAAAATTGGCAGCGATCACCGAATTGTAAGAGGCACACTGATCATAAACATTAAGTAGAAGTGTCTCATCTTATGAATTCAACCGTCTCGTCCCCCTCGTGCTCTAATCCAAAGTACCGAAAACTTTCAGCTCAAGTTAAAAAACCGTTTTAAGTGCCTAAAGACTGCAATACAGTGGACGGTATGAATGACAAGCTCGTGGAAACTGTCCATTATGTCGGAGCTAAGTTCTGTAAGACCCGTCGTAGATGAACACTCGCCGATCACACTCTTATGGCTGTTTACAGTGGTGTATCTGAATGCACCCTTACAAATAATTAGAATTTATTAATCTTAAGTAAATATAGTCTAATTATAAAATAAAAAATACGTGTGGCACTCGGTGACTGCCGCGGTAAAGCTATTGCATAGCATTTTTTATCAACTTACACAATTATAATTATTTATTTATTTTATTTATGCAGTTAAGTCTTTGATATTAAATCAAGTTACACTTTTTGAGCGTGGTGACCGATAAGAAAACAATTTTTTTCTCTTATTGAATAAATGAGAAGTTAATATTGTTTAAAATATTTTTAATATCTTACAATACATGTAGGTTATTCAGGAATTTTTATCATTGAGTTAGCAGCTAGTGTACACGCATACGTCCAGTCGCACGCACACAAACACCGTGCCGAAGTCTGCCGAGTGCCGAAGTCTGCCGAACCGAAACGACGTTAGACGATGCACGGCTTTCAACGCCACACCTCCGTGCCCGTCGGAGTGGGGAGCGTGAGGTTTTTTTTCGTTACGGAATTTCTGGATTCGGTCCCCGCGCTCAAGGCCCGCGATAGAAGCTATGCAATAGCTTAAAAATATATCGCCTGGA